TGTCAAAGTTCTGGCTAAATGCTCAAAGAATGCTTACTGTCTTACTCAGAAGAGTTTTTATCTTTTTTTGTAGGGTCCTCCTGGACACACTTGTGCGCAATGCTTTCACGTCCTCAATGTCTCGCATTGGTGTCTATCCGACCGACTGGTTCTTCTTTCCTACCTACTCGTCTGACCATTGCCTCACGGCCATATTCAATCAAGCTCGTTGAGGGTCTTCATTTGTTTCGTAAAAATCGGAGTATGTCATCTATGTTTGCTTCTTCGAAGCGACTTCTTTCGACTGAGTTTGTCGGGCCGGCTACTCTGCGGGCCTGCTGGCGATCCGTCTACCTACCTGCCGAAGACATAGAAGAATTGGCTCTATCTGACCCTGGCCGATCGTCCTTGCTATTCCGTCTACTTGACCTGATTGATCAGGAGGCCCTTACCACTCTCATGCTCAATAAGGCTTATTCTTCGGCCCACTCTGGCTCTCATGTGGATACTTCTGATGAAAAAAATTTTCCTATCAATTCTGGCCTGACTGGAACTGAAGATGGTACTGCCACTGATACAGTCGGTAACAAAGCGTCTGCTACACGATTGGACAGACTTATTGTAGAGCCTTTATTAGACCTCGAATTGTGTCTTTCTACCATCATCAGTTTGCTCGACGTTGCTTCAAGTCCAAACCTCTCAGGTTATTATACCATAACCTCTGATGGCTTTCGTATTATTATCAGAGTGTTTAGTATTGTAATACTACTTCTTGGCTATAATTATGAAGATGGGCATGATTATTCCCATCTTCACTATTCATTTCATCTGCTCCGACTCTAAGTTAAGCAATAAGGGTCCTGACATCATTTTACCTTTATTTAGAGATTAAATTTAACATAAAGATTTCAGAGCCACTTGTCAGACTTCTTATTACTAGCCTCCTTATTGCCACTTGTACTCCTCTTAAGATAACTAATACTATTATTACTATCATCATTACTCTCGTCAATAATACCGCTACCAATGACTTCAATCCTACTGTAATAATTATTTTAATCATTACTATAATCAATTTCC